AAAAAAAAAAAAAAAAAAAAAAAAAAAAAAAAAAAACCCTGCTGAAAGCAGCACGCAGAGAGAAACAAGCTTCCAACAGCAGTGGGCCACGAGGTCCATATTATGCAGGAAGACGTCCAGGTATCCCCAAGTAGTGGTCCACAGCACTCCTCAGCACTACTCTAACCCTGATCTTCTTCTATAGAGAATATAATAATCAGAAAAACAGGTGGGAGAAGATCAAGTTAGGAAAGGAGAAGCTTATTGAGTTATGAGCCTCTTGAGGGCAGAGATCGTGTCTTGTTCACCTTTGCACACAAAGAGTAACTGGCATGCACTGAGAAACGTTTGGTGATGACAAGTGAGTGACTTAGTGAAGCTATGGACTGAGGTAATTAAGTCGGCCACCATGCGCACATTCTCCAAATCCCCTCTTTAAAATTCTTTAAAATGAGAAGTATCCAGAGGGAGTAGGAAAAGCTTCCAGGCATAAGAGGGAAGATGCACAGGCCCTCCTGTCTCGGGCAGACTTACCGTCTCGAGTGTTTGGACTCAGGATTTGGGTTCGCAGCTCCTCCAGACTGATTCCCAGGCACCTGCAGATCTCCTCGGGGCTGTAGGGCTCCGGGTGAAGGGTGGCGTCTGTGACCAGCAGCATCTCCTCCAGGCTGATCCCTAGCTGGGCCTGCACCTCCTCCAACCGCAGGACTTTGTCCCACGGCAAGCTTTTGTGCTTAGCCAGGAGCTACAAGTTGAAACCAAGATAATGGTCAGTTTCCACTTCAGCATTTGATATGTCCTATTTTAATAGGCTAGATTCAATTTTTAGCTATTTGGTCATTTTGTTTTGTTCTTTTTTGTTTCCATTCAACCTGTCCAAATTCCCCACCATTGCTTACTGGGTTCAGATGTTTGGAATTAAACATGCCAACATGCCCGTATGGCACTCAGGCTAGTTGAGTAGCAGCACTGAAACACACACACACACACACACACACACACACACACACACTCAACTCATACCCCCACTGATTTTTCTTCCTGACAACACTTTTCCCTCGGGGCTATTTCTTTGAATAATTTCATTCTTTGGTCCCTATTCAGTCCATCTCTAATATGTCCTTCTATATCAAGTTTAGAGAAAACTACTTGAATCTCATGTGACCTGGATCCCTGGTTGCATTACAGCACTTCCTGTTTACTATGTGCCTCTTTGAAAATGGCTAATGAGTTTATGTATCTGGGAGTTTGGAGTAAACTCCCAAATTTCAAATGAAAACCTCATTGGTGACCTTATGAAAAATCTCTTCATTAGGTTGTCAGTAGTAATAGAGCTGTGCACTTCTCTGCCCTCAAGAAAAAGAGCTTGGCTTCCAGTTGTGCCCTGAGGCAGCTCTACAAGCAGGGCAAAAGACTTCCCCAGCTCCATCCATGGGACCCAGCCCAGAGTACATTTATTTCTCTTTCTCCCCAAACCACTGACAACCCTCAGAGCAGGTGACAATCAGGTTTAAACAATTCATTGCCTGGGTGTGAGGGCAGCAGGTGCAAAAAGAAGTAAGCAAGAGAATGGGAAATTTGTCTTCAAGGAAATGTGCATCTGATTTACTCTGCTATTATGCTGATGATTTGATTTTCTTTCTTTTCTACAGGAAGCAGGATTTACCAAAGACTGTTAAGATTTGTTTAGGAACACTCACTTCTAAAGAATGTTAATAACAAGTTTTCATATTCGTTAATCATCTTTTTAAAATCCCTGGCTCATGCATTTGAAAGAAGTTAATGATTTTAAGGCAGAACTAAGAAGAGAGACAATAGAATTAGGTTTCTATTCAATTATTTTGCAGAACATGGTGCCATATTTAAAAGACAGGAGGACCAGAGATTTAGCTAGGTGGTGACACCACCTGCCTTGCAAGCACAAGGACCAGAGTTCCAGACCTGGTACCAAAAAAAAAAAGGGAAAGGACGTGAGCTAAGATCTTTCTTCTGGCCTTGTTTGCTTAACACATTTAGTTAATGTTGATTAACAGTACTGAGCTGATAGCTCTAAGCTGATTCATTCACTCATTTACTGAATTCATTCATTCATGGTCTATATTTCAATGTATCTAAAAATAATTTCAGAAAATTTATAAAGACTTACATAATATAAAACAAAGAAATGCAATACATCTTATATGGAAAGAAAGCTGAAGTCAATAACACTACAAAAACACTTTCTAGTATAACATATCTATAATGCAACAAAAATAATAAACTAACATTGCTGTGTGATTTTAAAGGTATTTAAAAATTTCTCTTAATTTTCAACAACCCTGTGAGATAGGCATTATCGCTCCATGTAAGAAATGAGAGGAAAGTATTTTTCCAAGATTGCCTAATTAATAAATATCAGGGTTGGAAGGGGAATCCACAACCTACAGTTTTTTCCTGCTTCCAGGCCAAGTTCTCAGTCTCCCTGCAATGCTCATGAGTTCAAATCACCACCCAGATCTAAAAATGTATTTCGAAGCATGAGCTAAGGTTTGTGCTAGGAGTAAACATTCCAATGACTAAAAACACTTTGACAAATGGATTCCTTCTGGGAAGCAGAAAGGGAATGGAAAAACATCAGAGAACAGCCCTCTTGGTAAAAGTGGGCACTTTTTCTATTCGTTCACGCTTGTAGCACACAAAGTCCACATTCCTTGCGTGGGGTTGCTGCACGTACATGACACATCTTGATTCCTTTTTTCACCACCACCCCCATCTCTTGATCCTCTTCCTCTTTGAGAAAGCTCAAGCTCCCTAACTCCCGTTACCTAACGTATATTTTCCTTTTTATTTATTCTTTGGGTTCTAAGAGTCTTTCAGTCAGCTTGTCCTCACCTGGGGACTTGCGCTGTCGCCCGGAGCATGCTTAGCCCAGGCTGTGTGGCGCACGGCCCCGCGTGGCCGCGCTTCAGTGACGACATCAGCCCGCGCCCTCTGCCATAGCTGAGCAACCTGACGGTGGAATCGCACCCACACCGAGGGAGTCAAACAGGAAAGCCACTGAAGCTGTTAGAAATTTGGCTCGGGCAGCAGGAAGATAACTTGCAGATGAGGGAGGAGGGTGCCTACGACTGCTGTTGCTTAAAGACAGAAATTTGTGACGGAATTCTTCACCCGCGCGTGGCCCTGGTGCCTGGTCTACTTCACATGTGTGAGGCAGGGCTGAGTCAGGGCTTCCGGTCATTTCGTCATGAGTCCCTCACTCAACAGCAGGGTGAGGAAATCAGAGAAAGAAGTTCTTTGCAACATTCCCCGTCTCATTTTCACCACAGAAAATACTGAGTACACTTCTGGGAGGTTCCTGTGCCACACTATGTGGACTGGACAGCAGACCATGAGTGCTTCAAAAGTCGTGGAAAGAAGCACCAAGAAAAGGGCTGGGAGCCTGACTCAACTTGGCTTCTCTCAGAAGCAGTCCTGGAAATAAGACCTTGAGGACAAGGACATTGGCAAGGTGATGCTAAGAAGCTCTGACAGAGAAGCAGAGAACAAGGCCAACAGGAGCCCACTGATGTGTGCAGGTGAGGGACCTAAACCCGTATGTGACTCACCCAGGGCCAGGGGAGCTGGGGTGCCCATCAGTCCCGCACATCCTCACGGGGAGAATCCGCTCCCCAGGGTGTTAACTCACTGGTCATCCCAAAGCAAACTAAAATACTGAGTGCTCTCCTCCACCCAGAAGAGTTCCCAGTCCAAGCCTGGCCGGAGATGCCAAGAAGATGTGGTAGGGAGAGTGTAAGGACAGGGACCCTAACTCAGGAACCACCCGCCAAAGACCACCTGTTTTTTACTTTCTTCTTGCATTTAGGAACATTAACCTATCAACAGAAAGTACCAAGTCTTCTCACCACAGATCAGAGAAAGGAAAGGGGAAAAATCACCTCTAAAACAACAATTCATTCCACAAGCTATTTTTCACACAACAAAAGCATCTGTGGTATTGTTTCTGGTTATACAGTGTAAATCACATATGCTTATTGTAAAATTTTTGAACAACACATAAAAGTATAAAGCACCCCAAAAAAACCTTAAAATAAATCATCTGTAATCATTCCAATAAGCTAACTACCCACTGCCATTTTGATAACCCTCCTATCCCACATTTCTTTGTGTAAACCTACACACATAGTTTGGTATGAATAGGGCCACAAATTGCTCTTTTTATTGTGGATATGTTTTTATCTTCCCCTTCCCCTTGTTCCAACTACAGAGCCCTTCCCCAGGATCCACCATGGTTAGTTCTGCTGTGACTGTGCACCATTCCTAACCACTATGAACATATTCACCTCATTGACCTTGCCCTATCTTAGTCATCTTCGTGGTCATATTCTACACCATAGTTTTCAGGCCACAGAATCAGCCTGGCTTTGAAGACCAACTACAATCCTTCTTGACCTTAGCACAGCCTCTCCTTCCTCCGAGGCAATCCTGAGCATTGTGCTCAGGATTCCATCCATGCCTGATTCCTAAGAGATATGAGGGGAAGAACAGACGCTAAGTTGGCCTTCACTTCTCCACTCATTTATAAATAACAAGTCACCCATACCTTAATAAATCAGTTCCTTTCCCTTCACTGGGACAAATACCCAACACCCACAACTTAAACTTGGGGAGGTTTAATTTGGCTTACAGTTCTAGGAATTCTGTACATGGTCCATGGCTCCAAAGCAAGAACATCATGGTGGAAGGGCACGACAGAGGAAAGATGCTCACCTGATGACAGGAAGCAGAGAGCGAGAGACAGGGAAGAAGAGAGAAACAAGAATCCACCCTTCTAGGCCCCAGTTTCTAACAACACATTCAGTTACAAACTCTTTAATGCGCAAATCCATTGATAAGCGTAGTGCCCCACAATCCATTCACCTTCCACACACACGAGACTTTTGAGGAACATCTTGGACCCAAACCATAACCCTTGGCCTGAAATTCCCACAAGGTCAAATGAGGCATTCAATGGCTACTGCACACATTATCGTTAAGACTAAATAATTCGATAACACAAACACGTAGCACTCTGCCTGGCCCAGAAGCAATATTCCAGGAGAATCAAGTTTCCTTCCCTCTTGACATTCTCCTGCCTCTCCTATGAGTTCTCTCTCCTGACTCCTTTTTCTGTGCCTATAAACATATATAAATGTTTCCTCTCAAAAAAATCCTTAGACTCCATGACTCCCAGGTTCATAGTCAACTCTCTGGGCCTTCACTAATCAGTGAATGTGGCTTCCCAAAGATTTTTATCTCCAAAACCACTGACAAATCCACTGGTCTTCAGTCAGTCATCTTAATCTTTAAGAAATCAATGAGGACTCAATTACACAGTGATAAGCTGCCATACTGATAAATATGAGATGTAGAAGTGTTCTAGCTCATGAGATCCTGGAAATCTCATACTAATGATAGCTTAAGTCCTGAGGAAAATGGAAACCTAGCCACAGAGGGCCTTTCATTTCAAACCTTGCTAGGTCCAGTGATAGCTTCCCTTTTTACTATAACCCCGATACTCTCAGACCTACTTCTCTTTAAGCAAGTACAAACTTTCTGCTGCCAGAATAGTGTTTCTAAAATTCCTTGCTAACCACATTAATGGTTCCTCACTGTTTTCTGGACAAGCCTAGGTGATACTTACTTAGCATAGCACTGAAGCCCTGCCACAGTCCAGTTCCACAAATACACCAACCATTCCCCAGGTGGTCCCATACCCACTCATTCCCAGCCTCTGCTTTGCAACTTGCACCCACTGTTCTCTGAAAACTCAACACTAGAGCCCCAGCAGAATGCGCTTCACTGAATCAACAGAAGAAGTAAAATGGGCTGCATTCTTGAGTACTTGTCTTTCCTCTGATGAAATTCAAGAAGATTGCCAAAGCCCTGATAATCTTATGCCAACTCCTTATATTTTATCACCAGACAATGAACAGGTTCCATATTGACCACAAAGTGACAGAGTAATGAACGGCTCCTGACCAGGTGCCCCTCTAAAGAATCACTATAAATTCCCCTTCCAGTGTCAGAGAACCACATGAAGCTCTTCCTTTCCTTGCTTCACCAGTCACCACAAAGAGTTCAAGATATGCAAAAGCAGCAGCGTAATTTTTCTTCCCTCCTTGACCTCCCATGATACCACTGACTTCACGCACTCTTTCCCTCCATACAACAAAAGGATGCTCTCTTTTATAGACAAAAAATATTTCTGGAAAATTTAAGCCACTAAATATGTGTAAAAGTTTGTGCTCCTGAAAGATCCCTGGACACTTTGTTAATTTAAGAAAATAAAAATGTGCCTCACTTAAAAGTATCATTTATGCAAGTAATAATTATAAACCTCTACTGAGTTTGCCTTGAAATGTTTTTAATTTTTCTTCAAATGCTCTACAAGACTCTGATTTTTAATGACACTAAATCAGGTTTTGAAAGCTGATGGATAGAGAGAGGCAGAGAAAGAAAACTTCAGAATAGAAGAAAATTATGAATATTAAAACAAATAAAAAGTACCTTAACTGGTTTACTGTGTTTCCTTGTGCAAACGAGATATAAAAGGTGCTTAATTTCAGAAAAGCCTTTTAAAAAGCTAAGAAGAGACGAAAAGTGTTATTCATTACAAGTTTGCCCTGTGGAGTCGTTCTACCGTCTCATTTTCAGAGCTACCCTGCTTAGTTGTTCCCCACTGACACTTTGTTAGGCTGGTCTGGTAACAGGTTTATCACACCAAGATAGGTTTCTTTTCCTTTTTTACATGAGGATTTATTTCTTTATTTAAAGAGACCATTTTCAAGTAAAAATAAATTCATTCACATGTTGCCAAAAATGGAACACAGTACAGAGAAAACACAATTTAACAAAACCTCAGCCTCTCTTCCTAAGCAAAAGTATTTCCCTAACATCAACATCTCTGGGTGCAGTCCCTGTGAGCAGTTTTAATTTATATTCCTTTGTACAGAACCTTGGATTCCACTGATTTGCAGTAAGTAACAAGTGTGTAAAACATTCTCCACTGTAACAGCCTTTCATTTTTCTTTCTTCCACAAAATTATAATATTTAAAGCATTGTGTTTTAAAAGCCGGGCGTGGTGGTGCATGCCTGTAATCCCAGCACTCAGGAGGCTGAAGCAGGAAGATCGCTGTGAGTTTGAGACCAGCCTGGGCTACATAATGAGTTCCAGATCAGTCTCAACTACATAGTGAAACCCTGTCTAAAAAAAAAAAAAAACTAAAGCATTGTGTTTTATCTACATCATTTGAGAGGAACATATGTCAAAAAGCCAAATTCAGGTGCCAGTTTCATGAACAAAGTACCTCTAAAATGGGAAAGTACAGCTAAACTCAAAAGACATCCTCAAGAACAAAAGGGTCTGGAGTGGGTTAGGACCTTCAGCTACTCATGCCTCCAAAATAGATGCCTTTTGCAAGTTAACTCAAAAGATATTCCCTACATGTTGGTAATTCTGACTACCGAGGTTCAGTCCCACAGTTGTATTCCTTGTCTTTTTCTTGCCCTGTGAAACATAGTAGTCATGCCACAAAACCATTTCCAAATCTCCTGCTCCTTTCAACTCACCTGTGCATCTGGGAGAAGACACCTAATTGCGTGATCAAACTTAGAGAACAATGTTGTATATGTCTGTGGTGTCCTCAGGAAAGCAACTCTTACTCATCAACCTCATGACAAAAAGTCAACAAGAGTAAGCCCTCAAGCAAATAAGACACTAATCTCTTCCATCTCCTGAAAAGAAAGTCTTTCCTAGAGGATAAAAATTCATTTAGCCCTTGTTATTGAAAAGTTTACTGCACTACTACTCCATGTATGCACTGATTTGATGCTGTGAAGACGTTAATGTTACCACATCTTTCTTCATAACCTTTAGAATTATCTTAGTGACTAAATTCCAAATTTAAAATATGTGGATCTTGATTTGAAAAACAAATGTACATCTCCAAGTTTTCCACAAACAATACAGCCTTTTACTTCTCTGCCTCATACATGTCTATTCTCTCCAGCTTCACAACCTCCGGGGGTGGAAGTAAGAAGAAAACTACTAAGTCAGAAGAGCTAACTATACCTTACACATCTGCTCAGGGGCTAGGTCAGTGCTGAACACACAACAAGCACTTGTGAAAAAAGTGTAACATGAAGAAGAATAAATGAGGCAAGGTAGGTGAAACAGAGAAATCACTTATTTATCCAACAGATGTGTATCCTGTGCCCACTTCAGCCCAAGCACTACAGCAAGCATTAGGGATATAAGAGCTAATAAGATGGGGCTGGGGCATAACTCAGTGGTACAGCACTTGCCTAGCATGGGCAGGGCCATGGATTCAATCCCTAGCACTGCAATAAAGGAAAAGGAAATCTGAAAAGCTTGAAAAAAAAGTTAAGATGAACAGAATCTCAGCTCTCAGGTAAATGAAATCTGAAAGAGGAGATGAATGTTAAGCAAATAACTGTGGTAAGTACCAAAACTGAGAAATGCAGCTTCTATAAAGCACAAAGAAATCCCTACCTTAGTTCAGGGCTGGTTTTCTTTAGGGACATTTACTGACACTTCTAGGAGGGCTGGGAAAAGACTGTCCCAGGCATGTGCAAAGTCCCTGGGCTAAGAGTGAGTTTTGGGGCTGGAGAATAATAAGAGTAGGGGATGTGAGGACAAGAAGAAGGGGAAGTATAAAGGCCTCAGATCTTACTTATGGCTCTAGATGGGGATGAAAAGTTTTTACTTCAATCCAGTGAAATAACAAACTTCAGAAAGGCAATTAGCAAAGGGATTGTCTGACCAGATATAATTTTCTAAACAATTATTGTAACTGTTATTTGATGAAAAGGCTGGGTTTAAGGTGTGAACATGGATGAAGGGTGGTACTGGATTAGTCCACTAATTGGTTTATCATGCACCACCCAAAAGGCTTGTAGTTTAGATAAGATAAAGGCAAAAGAAAGACTTGCTGCTGCCTGCCTACCCTGCCATGGACTGTTTCTCTTCTGTGATGCCATGCTATCCTGCTTTGGAGCCAGCTGACTAGGGACTGAAACCTCCACAAACTGAGCTGAAATCAAACTTTCCTCCTTTAACTTGTGGGTGTTGGGTATTTTGCCTCAGCAACGAAAAAAATAACTGAAATAAAAGGTATGGGAGAAAGATTGAATTCAACTTGAACATGCTCATTTTCATAGGTCTATGATTTAGTAAAGCAGAGATGATGAATATAAAGTCTGCAGCGCAGCCAAACGTTTCAAACATTTAGAGATGTTCACTAGGAATTCACCAGCACAGAGCTGGATGCTAAAGCTACAAGATGGCATTAGATCAAGAGACAAAAGAAGAAAAGAAAGAAAAACTGAAAGCCATGGCCAACATTTTGAAGAACACATCCTAACTTAACTCTCTGCTCCCTATACATATATGTCCTGAACGCTTATAAACATCCTCCTGCTGTTGGGTATACAACACTACTACTCCATGAATACTTCCTAAATAAATTAAGGCTTGACTGGCAAGGGTCTTTTCAGTGTGCAACGGAGACCTGCCAAGAACCCTTCTTTGTATTTCCCTACCAGGTGTGAAGACAGTTTCTTTCTGGGGCCAAATTGAACCACACCTGTATTTGTGGGTGACCCGCAATAGCCCAGTACAAAAATAGTGCCTCTTAAGGGACCAAGGGAGTGAAGACCAAACAAGACCAGCTGTTGTCAATCCTCTCAGTTGCCCCCCGTCTTTCTCCACCTGTAGACCTGACCTACAGCCTGTGCTTCACAAATATAAACTGTCCTCTTTCCTTAGTGCCACTGTACAAGACTCAACCGAGAAGTCCATATAACTTCCCAAGAGTTGGGGGGCAGAGGACATAGCCACACCTATTGATTTACCTGTTCCCTGTCTTCAAATCAATTTACTCTGTACCCAAAGATCTTCTGTTGGAAAGTTGCTGCCAGAATGTTGCCTTAAAATATGGGGAAAACTACAAACTAAGACAGAATAAGCAGGAAAAGGACAAGAAAAAAGGTACTTCCCATTTCTTGAGTGTGCCACGTTCCTACCTTTGCAGCCAGCCGACACTCCATCACCCGGATGTTGAAGTGGGAAGTCGCTGCTTTATTCATTTCCACACAACTGTTGGCGATCACAAACACTGCTCCACTGGGAAGCTTCACATCAGTTGCCCTCAGAGGATTAAATTCTATCAACTTGGCCTATTGGAAGACAAACGACAGATGAGATACGATTTGTAAGGATTTGAGAAATGTTTAAGCATTTATGTACTTATTTACCTTACCAAAGTCTTCCTTCAAACTGCATTCATTCATTTAAATATTAAGTATGGCATCCAGGCACTGGAGATAGAATAATAACCAAGACACACAGTGTCCGGCCCTCACAGAGCCTCCAATCTGGTGTGAAAGACAGTAGACAGACAAATACATCTCCAAGTTGTATGTGTTGCGATGAGAGAATAGGATAGGGTGCTGAACAGAAACTTAGTTGAAGTTCCTGATCAGATACAGCCTAGTTAAGATCTCCTGTGAAAAAGGGAAATCTGACCTGAATCGTAAAGGATGAGTGAGACTTTCTTTTCTCAAATAGGGTGTGGAGAAGAAGAAAGAGCATATGCATGTCCACAGGGTACAACATGGGGTGTTCACAGAGGTTCGAATACGGAAATGAAGCTAAAGTTGGGCATCTGGAGAGGAAGTGACAAGGGTTTGGGCTGGAGGGGTAAGCTGGGGTCAGTGGCAAAGGTCTTCGCAGGTCCAAGGAATGTGGGTGTGGTTCAGACTCCACCCCTAGTTTACCTGGCCATCCGGACTCTCACCTTCATGTTTGTTTGTCAAGTCTCCTTCAAACCCCCAGAGAATTTTCTTATTATTATACCACACTCCCTTGGGCTTCACGTCTTTGGCTCAAGGGAATCAGCGATAAATACACCTAATAAGGAGTCCAGGTGTTCTTGGAAAATAGCCAAGTCTGTAGGAATGTGATGAAAAACTAAGAAAAGATCTTAAATAAATGTCTATTTCTATTTTAGAAATGGGCACTTTATGGGCAACAACTAAAACCTCTACTCTGCCAAGAGGAGCTGGTGGCCAAAGGGAAGTGGTATACAGCAAAAGAATTCACTCCTGGCTTACTGTGAACATTCTTTCTCCCACCACTGAAGCCCAAAAAATGTTGACAGAGAAAAATGACACCAAAGAGTAAATTATAAAACGAGGGGTTATGAATATACGTGGTAAGAGAGCTGACATTTGGGTTTAAAACCAACATGAGCGTATGAAAATGCCAGGAGATGAAGTGATTGAGGACAGGAGCAAGAAAGGAGGTCCCTATAACTAAGAGTGGAGAAATCTTAACTATGAAGACAGGAGAAAAAATAAACAAGGTGTAATAGTGATCGCCTTGACTTACAAAGCAGTGGGGAAATAACATCCTACAACAGAGGTCATAACCACCATGCCGGGTGTCCCAAAGCCTTCCCCTCCTGAGAACTGCCCCCAGCTGTCATTTCCAAACAGCTCTATGCCACGTACAGTTCCTTCTTCCGCAAGAAAGGATATGGACTGGTCCATGCCTCCTCCTTCAGTACCAATATAACGCTCGCTCTTGGTACAGATTTCTGCAAGTTCCACCTGAAAAAGGAAATACTGATTTGCACTGTAAATGTCATCATAATCTATTTCTCATCTATCTCTTATTCCAGATATGACAAATAGGTTTGAATTCCAGGGTCAACTCTGATCAATTAATACCAACTGCCTGGAGCAAAGTGTTAACAGGACTGCAGAGGTCCATAGAGCCAAATGGGAAAGCATGCCAAGATTGGTTAGAAGCTCTTCAAGGGCTGGGGATGTAGCTCAGTGGCACAGCACCTGCTTGGCAAGCTCAAAGTCCCAAGTTCGATTGCCAATACCAAAAAAAAAGCTATTGACAGGTATGGAATGAGATGCTGACTATGTATGCTGTTTCTGACATCCCTAAAAGACTCCAGAGGGTGGGAAGTTTCTCCATCTCTGTCTAGACTGGTATCATTCCCTTTTGCCTCAGCCTCCTTTGTCTCCCAACCCTGGACAATTCCACAGTCTTCCCAAAGCCAAAGCAAGTTGCCAGTCCAAAAGCAACACATATCTCTGACATCTCCATTAAATGTAAGGATAGAACTTCTCACCAGATGCATCTTCCTCCAACTAAGAGGAAGAGGCCCAACGGATGAACACAGTCCTAATCCAAATTGAAGATCTCAGAATATGTGCCGAAGAATCTTCAATGGCTCCCTACAGACAAATAATTTAAAACTCTTCAGGCTGGCATTTCAAAGCCTTCTGAAATCTGGCACATTAAACGGTCTTGTCTACTCTACTCTTCGAGGTAGATATATCTTCTTGATCATCTCAGGCTCATTTACGTTACTGGGTGTTGCTTCCTGTCCTCTTCTATGTAAGTCCTATTACCACTCAATAGCTGGCTTATTGACCCATTGTACAGGCAAGTCATTGGGCTGCCACTCGATTCTTCCTTCATCACGCAGGGTCTCCCACCATGGCATCCACTTTCTCTGAACCCCTACAACACTTATAGTTAGTATCATCTATTTCGACTATTCATCCACTCACTCTTCATTCATTCTTTTAAGACTCTACTCAGGCCCTTATTTCTCACTTTGATTAATGAAGTTCTGAAATACATACTTTAATCTTCACCTGCCTTGTTGGTTACCAATGCCTAATACTCACACTTAGCATGGTATACGAGGTCTTTGATGACTTGACCCCTCCTCTCCCACCACTAGTCCCATAAACCTAAGCACTAGCTACCAGGAGTATGGAGCAAATGCTGATCTGCCTCGCCTCCCAGTGCCTTTATAAGAACACTTTTCTGCTTCTTCCACTCCACTCGCACTGCTCAACAATACACGAATCATCTCCCTCTGGAACCCACACCACCCAAACTCACACCTGCTGTATGATTTCTCCTCCACACTCCCTATTTATAATTCGATCACTCTTTTTGAACCGTGCTTCAAGTGTGGGTTTACTTTTCTCTCCTTCCACCAAGCTAAAAGAGCCATGGAGCTCCTGGCTTACTGTCATTCTACAGAGGAGGGCAGCGAGGTTTAGACACAGAAAATGGAAATGCAGGAGCCTGGATCTGAGCCTGACCTATCTGACTCTAAGCCTGTGTTCCTCTAAGGCGGAACTCTGATTACTTCTTTCAAAATGGAGACGATGTAACCCACTCTTCACTCCATCAAAGGAGTGTGAGAAAACAGACAAGAACTGCCCTAATTTGAATATTCTCCGGCTTAAGAATAAAGAAACTAAGAGCATTGAGGGTTTTATGCTTGTTATTTTTTTTTTTTACAAAAAGAAAAAAAAACTCTTGATATGTGGTAACAATTGCATACAATAACAGAAATAAGATGTTCATTTCCCCACACCTGCGTGGAGTGAGAACTCCACCTGTAGCCACCCGCTGCCCTTCCCCTGACCTTCACCCCACTACCAAAGGCAGGAAGCTCAGATGGCTAAGAGATGGGAAGAAAGCAGGAACAAAAGTGCAGGAAAAAAAAATCTCCAACCGCATCTGAGGAAAACATGCTTTGGAGAGTCGTCAGAAATGAGTCAGACCCACAGACCAAGCCAGCAACGCACAACCCCAACTCAGAGCACCGTTCATGGACTGGCCCGTGCGGAAGAGGATGGTGAGCAGAGAGGATGCCTGCCGCCCTGGCAGGGCCTGCCCACGCCTCTCCTGTCCCTTGGGCCACTGGAAATGGAGCCCTAAAATACCCTCCAATATTATCATCAGACAGAGGCACTCGCAAAGCCACAGAGTCCAGACCCCACGCAGACTTCACCAGGTGAAATCTCAGTCCCCGAGAAAGAGCAGCTGTCAAGACTCACAGCGGAAGTGAAGTATGTGGAACACGGCCATGGGACGCTAACCACAGGAGGGCAAGGCATCAGGGACGCCAAGGCAGAGTCACCGCTGTACCTGATGGAGCCGAGGCTCTCCTCCTCCTCCTCCCCCTCCTCCTTCTTCCCCACCCCCCTCACATGCGCGCGCGCACACACACACACACACACACACACACACACACACTTGCACACACGCACACAACCTGACAACGCGCATGCAACAACTAAGAAGGCGTTTAAGCCCTTTCCATGTTGTTCTGTTTTCTTTTCTTTTTGGCAATATCATGGATGGAACCCGGGGGTGCTCTATGCAGCCACCGAGCTACATCCCAGCCATTTTTTTTTTTTTTTTGAGACAGGCTCATTAAGTTGTCCAGGCTGTCCCTGAACTTGTGATCCTCTTGCCTCAGCCTCCCATGTAGTGGGGATTACAGGCTGGCACTGCCACTGGCTCAGCGCATACACCAAGCGTGCCAAGGCACCCAGGCACCACCAAGCTAGTCTGTCATGCTCTCTTTCTCTCTCTTTCTCTCTCTCTTTCTCTCTCTCTCTCTCTTTCTCCCTTCTTCCAAAATATTAATCTGATGATCATCAGGGAAGACACTTTGACTATATGAGAAACTTTGCCAATGTCTGTGGCCAGACAGCAGTGTTTCTTCTGACTTCTGCCCACCAGGCAGTTAGGAGAGACCTGATATCTCCCACGGACCTCCTTTAGCTACTGAAGATATTTAACGAGTGATTCTCCTACAGCAGCCTGTGAAGGAACCGCATGGAACACTACCCTCATTATTGAGCCTCCAAGTAAAAGGAGAAATAGCAGAGTTAGATTTAATGGTCACCGAGCAGGGCTGAAGATCGACACGTGTGCTGCATAGCTAAGCCTGAATATTTACACAAACACTGGTAACAATAAAGACTCGAGATATTAACACAGTGAGTCCACCTGTGTCTAGCCGCATTCCAATGAGACTGTCGAGACTAGAACTCCAGAGGAAGATGCACCTCTCTGAGTGAGAACCAGGCCTGTAGGAAACCTAACTACACAGAACACAGCTGAGATAGAACCAGACTGGCCCTGCCGGCCACGGTAAGTGCAAGACTCCAGACAGGAAGGACCCAGCCCTGTTCAGTCTTTCAATCGGGTGCCGCAGCTAGGTGAACAGGCCGGCCTCGCCCTCAGGGAGATCATGATGCTGTTGTCCTCCAGTGAAGGAGTCTTCAAAAGGAGACTGCTGTGCGGGACTTGCCTGTCCCCCACTGTGCCCCCGTGCGGTATGAACCACATCCAAACATTCCTGCGCACACTGCTTCTCGTGGGGCTCCCCAAAAAGCGCCCCTGAGAGGAACTGGGGAGGGACAGCGGTGGGGCCGGGGTACTCCTGCCGAGGGCACTCCACACTCGGGGTCACCATGATGTAGTTTTGCCAGGCCCGGGGGCCAATACCCACCTGTCCGCTGTGAGCATGCCCTCTGTCTGCTGATTACGCCTGGGTATCTTTGGGAAAGGTGAAATGTTAATGGTCCTTGTGACTTTTCTTTCCTGGGACTAGTTCCTCCGTGTTCTCCTCCTACACTCCTTCTCCACCCTAACTTCCAAAATGCCCACCTGCCCCGTAGGTGGGGCTGTGTTCAAGTTCCTCCCGCAATCGGCCCACCGGCAAGTAGGCGTCCAGCCAGGCTGGTCCCCAGATGGGTCTAAAGGAGACCAAAGCAGACTCATTTTGTTTGGTAACAGAGCTGACAATAGAGAAAAATTATTATTATTACAAAAAGTCTGCCCTCATTTTAAAGAGAGAGAGAGAAAGACTATTATTTCTTCTTCACATCTCTAATATGCAGAGACGTGACCCAAAGGAACTATGAACTTTACATTTTTTTCTTACTTCAAGGAAAAGTTGTCTAAGGACAGTGGTGGCCAATTTCCAAAGTAAGCACAGTGGATACAACTGACCCTGGTGGTTAAGGCTGAAAAGTTCCAGCAAGGATGTTAGTGCAGAAAAGAAAGAGTTCAAAATAGGAAAACAGGCAAAAACTAAAGACTCTGTCCGCAAACCCTGGGGAACCAGGGTTCAGTGAGCCAGGCAGATGCCGCCTGCAGCACTCTCTGAGCTGCTTGGGGAGGGCACAGCGCCTTCCACACTCAACACCAAAGAGGCAGATGCCACCCATCAGGCACCACCTGTGGGCTTCTAGGAGGGACCGGCCTTTGACACCAAGGCAAGGCACAGCACTGCCCACAAAATCGTGAGGGTTGTAGACACAAGGAAACACCCGGGCCAGGCTTCTCCAAGCCTCAGTCGCTGCCTCTCATGAGTGCCTCATACCGCTCAGCTTTCTCAAAATGATGACCTTGCACGTACAAGCATGTGTGGCAGGACTGCGATCACACCGACACAAATAATCAGAGGACACGCGAATGCACTGCTGCCCCTCCGGTCATCTCCCACCTCGCCTGCACGTCTCACCTGGGAAGGGTCAGAGGTCACCATCTTGGGCCCCTGAGCCTGCTGGCCCATCATTTGTGTACATGCAGACAGGACACACACACACACACATTCCACAGTGGGAGCAAGGGAGCGGTGCTTTCTGAGTCTTCACAGCTTTATTTTCTCCTAGGCTTAAATAAAAGAAAAGTCCATCTCTCCAAATGGCTGGGAACTGGGAGGTTTTTCCCACTGTCCACCTGCAAACACTCGTCCCTCCCACAGAGC